TTTAGTACATATTTCATGAATTAATTAAGTTTTTTAAAACTTTTTTTTTTATATAATGTTTTTTTATAAATAAATTTGAATACTATGTCCTTAATAATTTTGTTATTTTTTATTTCAAAGAACGTAAATAAAAGTTGCTTGAGAGTGGGTATACATAAATATTTGTTGTTTTTCAATTCACTTTTTAAATAAAAAATAGCTCTTATTTGCAGTTCATGGCGGATGAAAACACATATTAAAACCTTTTTTTAAATTTACAAACGACCTTTTTTCAATTTTAGCTGACCATAAAAAATATCAAAAATACTCGATATATCGATTTTTTTTTGTGATATTTCTTAATATTATCGATTGATATTTTTTTCACAGCAAATATCATCAATACGATATTTTTTCAAAAACCAACAACCCTAATATGGACATGCATGCAGGTACGGATTAGAGGTCTGCATGAATAGCTAAAAAACGACATTCAAATGCACAGCCTCGAAAATGAATTGAGTGAGATGGAATGCTGAGACGAAAATTAATGAATGAGTGAGTGCGACTGTGTAGGTCTCACTCGCACAACATTCGGGGGATAAAAACCGAATTGAATGAGTTAGAGTTACAGTTCGCATTCGAATTGTTTCGAATGCATTCTAGAATGTACGATACAACTATGCATATTTGCCTGTATTTTTAGACGCTGAGAATAAAATAATTCAAAAGTGAATTAAGTCATTGATTTTTTTTCCAGAAATATTCATTATTATGCTGTATATTTTATTTTACATATTTTACTTATACAAATGTAAAAATATTTTCAATATTTATGAATAAATAATTTTCCACCACAATTTTGCCGCTAAAAAAATTTGCAAAATAATTTAATTTGGAAAAACTAAACAATAAACACTAAGAAAATAATAATAACAGTTAAAAACCAAAGTAAAAAAACACTCTATCATAATTCACCTTTCGGTCAATTCCCTCATTATTAAGGAAGTATTTAAGAAGCGTTTTGCGCAACAGAAGAAAATAAATGAATGCATAGAGTGTGTTAAAAACCATTCGAGACATTCGGCTGCATTCCTCATTCCAAAAGCACTCTTTTTACTTCCCACACCAACTCACTCTGTTTCAAAGCAAGAGAATGCCCATGAGTTACAATACTCTCTCACACTCTCACTCCCTCTCATTCAATTCGTTGTGTCTCTTGCACTCATTCATTCTATTCCATTCGGATGTATTCTATGGCTGAGGCAATAAGAATGTATTCCTGCAGACCTCTAGTACGGATATATGTAAGGGCATGTGGGCATATGTTGGCACAGTGGAGCTTTGATAAGTGGACTGTATAATTGGGGGAACAGAAAAGTTATGTGGTGTAAAAAATGACACTGATTGAGGAAGATAAAAACAAATATTACGACAGCGGCGGACTGTTCGGTGAATTTGGAAATTCCGGAACTAATTCACACCGGTGCACTATGGGCGATTTTTCATAATGGGCGGCATAAAGTCATAAAATTTATGGTGAAATATTAAGGAAATGTTTTTTTTATTAATAGTAAACAATTCTGTTAGCTGAAAAACAATTTTTTTTTTATCGGGTAGCAACTCTCTTTTTGTGGCAGCCCTTCAAAACCAGATGATCTGTTGATGCTCGAATTATATAAATTGGCACAAAAAATTTCATGCTGTTGAAAGTGCCTAAATTATTATTGGCTTCGTTTAAATTAATAAGTGTAATATGGATAGCAAAGCTCAACGTATTTAGAATCTTTTATTTACGATAAATGTGTATAAATGTTCGTGGTGTTTTTAATTTCCAGTGTTATTGTTGATTGTATTTTTAGCAAAAATCTAACAATTTTAATTGTGTTTCGTGGAGTATTTCTTGAAAAGTGCATATCAAAACATCCAACTAAAAATGGCAAGTTACTAACGAAAGTGTCTAGTTTATTGTAGTAATCATGTTTTTTGCTCTTTTTTGTTCCTTTAAAAGAAAAATGCACTTGAACATCCAACATCAGAGCTGAGTTCATACAATTTTTTTTAATGATGAAGACACCGAATCAGACAACGAAAGCGATGACAAACATGAGAATTCTTTTGTTTTAGATGAAGAAGATTATTAACTTTTTGTTTTTTTAAGTTTAGAATATTGTTAAAACATGGTAAAATATTATTTTTTCTATTTTTATGCTTTGCTAAAAAAATTTAAGTTTTTGTACAAGTGCCGGGGCTATAAAGGGGCGGAAAATAAAGGCATAGTCAAATTAAATAAAAAAAAAAAAATACGAAAACAAACTAAAATATTAGTAACCTTAAAAAAAAAATTAAGCTCCTAGCTCTATGTGTGGACTTTATGCCGCCAAAATCAACTAATCGCCCATAGTGCGGTGGCCAATATTAATTATGCCTTCTTTTTGTCACCACACAATTTCACTGTTCACTTGCGAATTTTTCGCGGATTAATTGCACCAAAAAAATATGTATGTGCGTATGTATGTATGCGGATGCACATATGCCTCGACCGTTGGCAAGCGAATGGATAACGGAGAGGCCGAAAACGGCGAGGAATATGGGCAGCACACAAAACGGAGACGGATAGAAAAATTTGCCGAATTTTAAGATTATTATAAATTATTAGAAAATCTCAACCTTCCGTTGTGTTGGAAAACTCGGACTTGGAGTTGACACGGAGGGAAAAACAATCTTACAGCAGTGTGAACGAAATTTAATGTTCGGATCACTGCTGAAGACCGGCAGAGAGATGGGGACGGAAAAATGTACTTATCTTTTGGCGGAACAATGCCGAGAACTGCTGGCAGAAGAAAATCCAGTAATTATCCGGCTCGAAGGACCAATGTTTTGTAGGGGGGCGTTGGTTCCGCAAAAGATTCCAGGAGTAGAAATGTTAAATAAAAAGTCGGGGGCGTCTTCCAGTGGATATAACGCGGTCAGCTTTATTGGGCTGCTTACATCGAATTAAAAAACTTAACTTAGAAGGAAAACAAGGCAAAAGTAATAGCAAAAAATACGATCGACGACGGCCGACAAAGGAGCGAGAGCGCAAAGAGGGGCGAGCGCGGATGCGCTCTTCAGCGCGGGTGCGCTCTTCAGTGCTGGTGCGCTCTTCAGCGCGGGTGCGCTCTTTAGTGCTGGTGCGCTCTTCAGCGCGGGTGCGCTCTTAAAGTTGCGGCACACCGGCCCCTCACGTAAACAATAGTAAATACCAAGAAAAATATATTAGAGACACGCCTTCTCGTGCTCGTGCTGATGTTCAAGATGATTTGTTCACCCAGTTTTTGGTCAGAGAACATCTACGTCCGAGAACACCAGCATTGTACAGCATTAGGAAAAAAAATGTTAAGCCCGTTTATCAGAATAAAACGTTCACATATTAGAACCACTTACAACTTTACAGCAACACAACTTTAACAAAACTAATATCGTCAGCACCGCAGCTTAATAAAAAAAAGCCGCCAAACCTTATTTTTTGCAGTCTTCAACAATTCGGGCAGCACTAACAAAGCTTTGCACATTTAAGGATGTAGTCTCATGTTCCGACCTAATTTTTAGAGATTATTTCAAAAAAATTTTTTTGGAATAAAAAATAATGCGATTGTGTTAATTTTCAAATATGTTTTTATAGGCATCATAAACTATTTGAAAATATTTTGTTTAATTTATTCTTGTGTAGTTTAATACACTTTATAGCATGTCAAAGTATGCATATAAAAAAAAGGTAGGTCCCTGGCGCAGGTGATTTCGACTGCTAGAGTCATTCGAACCAAAAAATTAGAATAGATTATTGTTTTGTAAGCTTATGGCTCTGTCCCGTACTAGAATGAAATATTTTCATTAATAAACAACAAAATAGTGAACTCACAAAACAAAAAATTAAAAAAATGTCTCTTAAATTAATGATAAAAAAAAAAACTAATCATTAAAAATAAATGATTCTAGTACGGGACAGAGGTGTTACTTTTTAGAACATATCCAAATTTCAGCTAGTTCGGTACCATAGAATTTTGTGAATAACCTGCGCCGCACACAAAATGTCGTTCCGAGAAAAAAGCGTTTAAAGTTTAGACGCTACCGAGTAACTCATACTATTCGGTGTAGGCACGCTCTCGATTATGGGCTGTATCTCTGTCATTATTTGATATTTTTATTTGAAACTTTAACAGTACATTCTTAATAAACAGTACTTTCGAAATATGTGAACAAAAAAAAAATCGATTTTTTCAACCTTACACATGAGACTACATCAGAGGTCGGCACGGCCCTATCTCGGGGGCATAGGAAATTTCTCTGCCCGAGCTCTGCCACACACACACAGTATAAATGTGTGAAACGTCATGCTCACAGCCTACATTCTGCTATTCGTTACTAACACTAATGCGGTAAAATCATATCAATGTATTGGGGTGCCGACCACTGGACTACATCCTTAAGAACAAAGTCATTCTATGACGTCACAATGCATTTCCGCACTATTACACTGTGGCAACCCTTTTCAGTTCTCGTTAGCACGACCAAACTTTATAACTCACGCGAGTATCGATATTACGGGAGTATATCTCCAACACACTCTCTCCTAACGACTTCGTCAGCTTCGTCCGCCGCCACTGCAGAGTCTTTGCCGCATACATCTCTCGATCATCTTTCTAGTTTTAAATATATGAACAATAACTATAAGAAACGCAAAACTCCTTACCTCAAACTTTCAGTCGATAGACCCGCTGCATCTGCCGTCTTGTTCGCGACCGTCACTCGCTTTCTAACTCTCTTGACTTGGTCTCGGTCGCCCCTCTAGAAAGGGCGGATGGATTGCGAGGGTATGCGATTAAAGACTGTTTCTTACACGTCCCCGCATTTGTGTGGGCTCCACTGCTTTATAGGGTCAGAGATTATTTTTTCAATGCATTACAAACATCTGAATAAAATTAACATACTTCCAAGGCTCCAACATAGTCTTTTTAAGCTGCCAAATTAAACTACATTTGTTTCTTTTATAAAAATGGGAGTTTTATTTTTTTTGCTTTTATTGTATGATAGAAAAATTTAATTTTACCAACGTCCTCGATTGTTTCCACCGGAATTACCCCTTCCTTTTCCTCGGCCATTCCCTCTGAACCCGCCATTTCCAAAGCTATTACGCCCACCGCGTCCACCTTTAAAAATATAAAAATAAATTTAAATAATGTTCTATGTTCTTTTGTGAAGAATTACCTGATGCCCCTCGAAACGAAAAGTTTTTTTGTCCAGAATTATTTGTTGCACGATTTAGAGATTTTTTCTTCTGTCCCTTTGGTGGCCGTGGGTTAGGTAAGAATCTAGCTATCGGTAAAAGCTTTCCAGGGTCGATAAACAAAGCTTGATTTAGTTTGAAACTGTTTGCAACAACATTCTCAGACAATTTTATGGAGACCGAATAATCGCGAACTGTACCAAAAATTTCATCAATTTTTCCAATTTGCTCCTTGTTTTCAAGGTAAATTGGAGCGTTAAAATATGGTACATCCTGAATTTCTACTTTGCATACTAAATCATTTTGGCAAGAGTAAATAAAGTTTCCAAGGGGAATTACTCTTTCAGGTGGACCTGCAACAAAAAAAAGTAATCATATAAAAAATAGAAGAATCTTAAAATTAAAAAAATAATAATAATTTTTTTTTACATAAAAAAAAATGAAAAATTCTAAAGAATATTTTTTATACCCTTGCAGAGGGTATTATAATTTTATCCAAAAGTATGCAACGCAGTGAAGGATACATCTCCGACCCTATAAAGTATATATATTCTTGATCAGGATCACCTCCTGAGTTGATATGAACATGTCCGTCTGTCTGTTTCTACGCAAACTAGTCTCTCATTTTTAAAGCTATCGACTTGAAACTTTGCATACAACTTTCTTTCCTTTGCACGCAGTATAAGTCGGAACGGCTGGGATCGGCCGACTACATCCTATAGCTGCCATATAACTAATTGATCGGAAATGGTAAAACTTTGGTGTTTTTAGAGTTAGAGAGTTCAAATTTTACACGAGAGCCATATAGAGAGTTCAAAATAATACGACATGCCAAATTTCATAAGGATCGGCCGACTATATCCAATAGCTGCCATATAACTGAACGATCGGAAGTGACCCAACTTTTGTGTTTTTGAAGGTGGGTCTTAGTACAGATTCTATTTTTAGTCAGTTTATCCATCCTACCAAATTTCATAAGGATTGGCCTTATATCCTATAGCTGCCATTTAACTAAACGATTGGAAATATTTTTTGGTAGAAATACCACCTTTGGTATTTTTGAAGATAGAAGCTTGGGACTTTTTTTTAGCTAATTGCCGAAGTTAGCGTTCCTTTCTTGTTTTAATCTAAACTTGTTACATCAATTCCAATTGCAATTTTTCAAATGCTTTCTCTCTCAATTATTGAGCGTGGTCGGAACAGACGATTGCGCTGCCGTCGCCGAATCACGTAAATAGGAATACGACGGTGGCTGAAACGTTATAACTTTTTTTTTTATAAATTCCGCATAATATGAAAGCAGTCAGTTGCGAATATTGCCAAACGGAGCAAGGTTGTCAGAGGAGGCTTTCGCTGAAAGAAGCAGATTGACGAATGTCAGAAGAAATTAATCAAGAAGACATCTTTTGACGTATCAAACCGTGTTGTCGTGGTGAGGAAGGATTATTGTTATCCGTTTTTGGGAGCTTATGTAGAGACTTCCCTACCTTGGAATCTACCTTGTGCCTAACCTTAATGGAATGGTTTAGGGTTTTACACAAATTCGCGATTCAAAAAAGGAGCATTTTTAAATTTTTTACGAAGAGAACTAAAACTGTTTTAAAAAAATTATTATACTTAAGTAGATGCTACTTTTAAGATGATAATAGCATTTCGATTATGTAAAAATCTATATATACGGAGGGCTGACAATAAAGTAAGGTCTCCAATTTTTTGTATAGAAAATTACATTTATTTACAAAAAGCGAGACATCGTTGGAAAGGCCAAGGTCTTGGCTACTTTTCTACATAATCGTCATTTTTTTCCAACACCTTGCGCATCCGCACGATGAACTTGTCTATGCCGGCAGAATACCACACTCCGTCCGCCTCGCGCAGCCAGGTGCTGACCTCTTTCTGAACCTCCGCGTCACTATCAAACTTCTTTCCTCCGAGATGTTTTTTCAGGGGGGGAACATGTGGTAGAATTGTCGCACGGGGGTTTTTGAACATTTCTGCCTCCACTGCTTGAACAATCGCATCCGAGACCGACGGTCGGCCACTTCTCTCCTCGTCGTGCACATTAGTGCGCCCGAAATTGAACTCGCGGCTCCACTTACGCACGTTTTTTATGTCCATACACTTTTCCCCGTAAACTTCAACTAGTTGACGATGGATTTCAATAGGTGTCACCTTTTTCGCACTCAAAAAACGTATTAAAGAACGCAATTCGCACTTGGACGCTGACGCGAGAGGTACCTCCATCGTTGACGGCTGCTCAGCCAAGACTGAGCGGGACGCCTCACACAGCAACAAAGTGCTAGTGGGGAACCAAGAAACACGGCGGTGTCGCCAGATTTCGCCTAGCGCGTGATCCGGCGAAGTTGCAGCGTTGGAGACCTTACTTTATTGTCAGCCCTCGTATAAAAATGAAACCAGTTTTCATTTTTTTTTTTTTTTTGTAGTTTTCTAATAGGTATTCTTTACAAGGTACTTACGGAAAAAAATATTAAGAAAAGCGTTCATAAGTTTCCGCGTTCTTAAGTTTTAAACCATAAAAACAGCTTTTTCTATTTCCTATACACAAGAAAATCAAACTGGCCTGGGGCTGGTTGTCAAATATTATGGTTGCGTCTAGAAATTGGTTGATATTAAGTGACAACACATTAAGTTCGTTTGTTTTAAAGACTAAAAAGTTTTTTGTTTGCTTATAGTGTTTGTTATTCACGGTAAGTTCACTTCACTTCATATCGATTTTTGGTAACTTTTGGTGGCTACACAGAAACCAATACAAGAAACCAACAATGCCAGCAACCAGACGTACAAACTTAAGCCGCAGAGCTCGAAATACGGCAAGTCAAAGATATATAAGAGCAAACTGATGAGCAACGCGAAGATCGAAATGAATTTCAACGGAATCGAAATCAACATAGAAATGTTGTGTTTAATCCCCACAGAGCTGCATTTAGTTATAGTGTGGCAATTGATTACAGTTCAGAGCAAATTGTGCTATTGGACTAATGAATTTTGTGTGTCCACATTGTAATACATTGAAATTCAAAACAGAAGCCCCTGGATTGTGTTGCGACAGCGGTTAAGTCAAATTGACGCCATTGGTACCACACCAGAGCCACTACATTCATTAGTTTCCGGAAATGGGCCAGATTCGAATCATTTTTTTTACCGATATGTCCAGCAATATAATAATTGCTTTTAAATGACGTCATTTGGCGCAACAAAAGTTATACAAAACAATTTTTTACCTACTTTCAAGGTAAGTATGAATGTACGAAGGGATGAATGTACGATGGCACACAAAAAATCTTTGGAGGCAAGATGGAAGATTTACGAAATAACAAAAACAGTTTGGTGGTGCAATGATACTATTGACAGGTTATTTTCGACAAATAGTTGCCAGTTGTTCCACGCTCAACGCCTGCTGATGAACCGAATGCATTTTTGAAGTTGAACATTTTATGGAAATACATTAAAATACTTAAATTAAGTATAAACATGAGAGACGAATTGAGGGAAGACCAGTCTGGAGAAGTATTTTCCAAACAACTGCTCGATATTGTTAATGGTATTATTATTGCTATTGCTATTATTATTGGTATTATTATTGATACATCATCTGGATACATTACTTTCCCTACCAATTTTTGTAACTTGTGAATCAAAGACCGAACTCATGGAGATGGTTTTCCCAAACATTGCTCAAAATTACGTAAATCACGTTTGGTTAAACAAACATGTTATATTGGCAGCAAAAAAGTTGATGTGCATAAAATGAATTTTCAGATTCAAGAGAAAATAGCTGGCGAATTGAAGAATTACAAATCAGTGATTCCATTACTAATGAAGATAAAGTTGTCAATTATTCAACAGAATTTTTAAATTTGCTGCAATTGCCCGGCTTACCACCTCATAATCTGCAACTGAAAATCGGATCAGTAATTATTATGTTCCGGAACATAAACCAGCCACGTCTGTGGCTGGCACCGCAATGTCACCCGGCTGGCGGTAAAGAAATTATTAAACAACGTTATCGAAGCCACAGTTTTGAAAGGGAAGTATAACGGCGAAATTTGTATACCCGTGCAGAGGGTATTATAGTTTTGTCCAAAAGTGTGCAACGCAGTGAAGGAGACATCTCCGACCCTATAAAGTATATATATTCTTGATTAGGATCACCTCCTGAGTTGATATGAGCATGTCCGTTTGTCCGTCTGTCTGTCCGTTTCTACGCGAACTAGTCTCTCAGTTTTGAAGCTATGGACTTGAAACTTTGCACACACCCTTCTTTCCTTCGCACGCAGTGCGAGCGACCGGGATTGGCCAATACTGCCAATACTGCACAGGCACATAAGCGGATAAACATATATACATACTTATTATATACCATCTGAAAGGTATTGATGTGTAGATCATATATATATATATATTGGATCTGGCTTCAACGGATCAAAAGATATATAGATTCAATCTTTATTTTTAATTTTTAAAATAAAAGTTATCGAATAATTTTTATTTTCCAATTTATATAATAAAAATTACAAAATAAAAGTTATTGCGTAATTTTTATATAAAAATTGATACTTAATAATTATTACTAATTTTTTACTATTAAAATTAATTTTAATTATTAAAAATAAATTTTTTTCATAAAAATTAAGAAATAACTTTTATTTTGTAATTTTTTGCTTTTTTAATTATAACCGTTACAGTCCGTCCCTGTTTAAAGCACAAAAAACGAAAATCTTATACGTTGAAAAAGTACATTTTTTGTTAAAAACGTCGCCATTTTTTTTAAATCAAAATTTTATAAAAAATCCCTCGTTCACGGACTAGACAATACAATATACTAACTAAACTTTTTTGAATTTTGGATTTCGGATGAACCGTTTTCGAGAAATCTTGTCCACCGCAAGACACCATCGAAAAAAGACGATCAGGGAATTCGCCTATAACATTTTTGTTATGTAATATTTTTTTATGAAAAAATTTAATTAAGTACCCAGAACCATGTACTAAACAACGTCGGTAAAACATTTTTCATAAATATTTTCTATGGTGTCAAAAAAAATCGATAAAAATCCATATTTTTGCGCGGTACAACTGTATATAACCCCTTAAGAGCGCGCGTGGTGCGGAGCTCAGGTTTACTTCAAAATGCAAAGTTGTTTAATGGCGATTTGTAAAAAAATGAGTAAAATTTGAACCCTATAAAATAAACAATATTATGAAAATATATATGTTGTTAAATCCTTGCATATATGGCAGCAATAAGATACAGTCGGCCGATCGGAATGAAATTTGTTAGGAATTAACTGGCAACAAACATAATCTGTACCAAGTTCCAGCTTTCTATCTTAAAAAACACGAAATTTGGGTCATTTCCGATCGTTCAGTTATATGGCAGCTAGAGGATATGAAATATGAAAATTTGGAAAGTTGGGTCAACTTAACAAAAATAGAATCTGTACGAAGTTGCAGTACGAAGTTTGTAACTTCAAAAATCTTCTCCAAACTTCTTTCTTCAATAACACCAAAGTTCGTATTTTTACCAAATACCATTTCCGATCGTTCATTTATACGGCAGGTTGGATTAACTGACCTAACATAGTTATGTACCAATCAGTTATATAGCAGCTCCGACTTATATACTGCGTACAAAGGAAAGAAGGGTGTGTGCAAAGTTTCAAGTCGATAGCTTTAAAACTGAGAGACTAGTTTGCTTAGAAACAGACAGACGGAGATGCTTATATTAACTCAGGAGGTGGTCCTGATCAAGAATATAAATAATTTATAGGTATTTTTTATTTTATTTATAGGTATAAATTATAATACCCTTTGCAAGGGTATAAAAAGAAAGAAAAGCTATGTAGCTTAATATGTACTTTAACTTATATACGTGCCAAGGAAAAAAGGGTGTGTGGAACATTTAAAGTCGATAGCTTTTTAAAAGAGTCAAGTTCGTGTAGAAACATGCTTACATATGTACATATTAATATTAAAAAAACACAAACAGGCGTTTTTCTTGCATGCAAAGTCAAAAATTATGATTTTTTTTCTATGTGTAAACAGTTTCTTGACATACTGTATGTACAAATATCAATCCACGAGGTGATCCCGATCAAGAATATATATATGAACATATGTGTATACATTATAGGGTCGTGTTTCTAAGACTGCTTTCAACATATTTGACAAAAATTATAATGTTCGCTGCTAGGGTGTAAAAAACTACAAGCCATGAAACACTTTGTGAACACTTATTCCTATTATATCCACTAAAGTTTAGTGACTAAACACATTGTTTTTACTTTATTGATACTTGTGTGTCATATACATATGTATGTGTGTACAATATGTCAATAGTTTGCAAAATAAAAATGGCACAAAAATGTATTTTAAAGTAAATATTTAATGGTTCCACATTGTTTTTGATCTCTTGTTATAGTTAATAGTTCTAAGAACATTACAAATAAAAAAAAACCAATTTTAAAAACTTAATTAACAAATTATAATTTTTTATTTTTCAAACAATTAATTGACATACTGTACATACATATATATGTACTTAAAAAATGTAAGATGAATGAACACTTAGAGCAATGAACACTTAGTTTAGAGCCATACTTTTTTATTTTTATAATTTTTCATATTTGAATTAAAATATTCAGACTTAAAAAAAGAGATCATTACCATTATCAAATCCATTACGACCGCCCCGAAATCCCTTGTTGAATCCACTGCTAGTAGACTTAAAATTGGATCCACTGTTGCCGCCGCGGAAACCCCTTCCGGCACCAACACGACCTCGAGCAAATCCCATTTTAATGTTCAATAACAACACGTGTAGGTGAGTAATAACAATCCTAACAGCGTGGCCGCATCGATGACGATAAGATTCTTACCAACAAAAAATACTATAAATACTGTTTTTCAAAAATACCATTTTAATGCCCGGTATAAGAACGTCGCTTAGCTAGCGACGAAATGGAATGGTGAAAGAGAATCATGGGTTTGTGCCAAAGATTTTTTTAAAGTTTTATTGTATTATTAAAGGTTGGTACTATGATCGAATAACATGGACGAATAAAATCGTTCATTCTTTATGGTGTGAACGAATTTTTTGAGTTCACTCTAATTTTTTTATTATGGTCTTAGTGTCAACCAGCCGAGTCAATCATCTTAACCTATAAACTTAAATTTTATATTAATCTAGCTGACCAGGCAAACGTTGTTTTGCCACATAATGACTTTATAATTTCTGTAAAGAATTTACTCAGTTCTAGACTTATGTATTATAAAGTCATCTGGAGCGCTGTGAACTATGAGGGAATATAAAAATAACAAAAGGCAAACATTATTTTTAAGTTATTATTTTATCGTCATTCAGCAAGTCAATCTCTTAGTGCTATAGCGTGAACAATATTTTTTTTTAGTCCATCTTTAGCTAACACAAACAAACTGGATGGTTTACCCACTAGAGAGCATGCCACGTAGAATTGTCCGTGTGAAAAAAATGGTCTTCCTAAATCTAAGCCACAAATAGACATCGTTTGACCTTGGGATTTGTTGAAAGTCTGTTAGGTGTCGATAGTGTCTGCAAATGATAGCTAGAGAAGGGGCACATCGGGGCGAATTGATTGGACCCGAGAAAGAAGAAGCCAGGGCGAACCAGCCGGGATCCAAGCGTTGTGACTGCAAGGAAAGCAGGGATCTAGGAGAAAATAAAAAAAAGGAAAAAGAACGGCAACAGTAGGAGGACACGTGGGAAAAATTCAATTTAAATTTCTAAAGAATTTTCTACGGAGCTCTGATGTAAGTACGAGAAAAAAAAAAAAGAAATCGAAGCCAAGATCATAACGATTCTTAAATCATAATTGTAGTTCTTCAGTACATTTCGAAGAAATAAGATTTGGAGCTCATCATCCAACTGGAGCCAACTTCCAACTTCCTGGGTGGCCCCAAGGTTTTTTTTTTGGGAATTTGAATTTTAAAAGTACCTGAAACCCTGTCTGTTGTTTTATAAATTTATTTATTTAAATTATCTATTCAACGATCTATAGATCAACTGAAAACATAAAAGAAAAAAAATGAAACAATAAATATTAAATTAAATTATCAATTAAAATGAATTGTGAGTGAGAACATACAAAAAGGGGGGAAATGAAAACGTGGAATTCAAGATGTGATAGTGCGGATCGGTAAAGGGGAGTATAAGGAAAGCCGGTGATGATCCCAAGGATCCAGGATTTGGACCAAGGAAGGGAAGCCTTCGTGGTGCCCAATACCGTAGTGTTCTCTTTTCCGCTGTGGGTTTTTTTTTTATTTTGGTGATTCGATAAATTATGTTACGTAGTCGTTTTTTATTTTGCTTGTTTGGAATCTATTTATTTATTATTTTTATACCCATACAGAGAGTATAATTTTGTACAAAAGTGTGCAACTCAGTGAAAGAGACATCTCCGACCCTATAAAGTTTATATATTCTTTATCAGGATCACTTCCTGAGTTGATATAAGCATGTCCGTCTGTCTGTTCCTACGCGAACTAGTCTCTCAGTCTTAAAGCTATCGACTTGAAACTTTGCACACACGTGCACAAGTCGGAGCGACCGGGATCGGCCGACTATATCCTATAGCTGCCATATAACTGATTGATCGGAAATGGTATAACTTCGGTGTTTTTAGAGTTACAGAGTGAGAGATGTTTAACATGAGAGATATACGTATACATATACGTGTACTAAGCTGAAACTTAGTACAGATTAAATTTTTGGTCAGTTAATCCAACCTACTAAATTTTATAGGGATCGGCCGACTATATCCTATAGCTGCCATATAACTGAACGATCGGTTATGGTTTTTGGTAAAAATACCTACTTTTGTATTTTTGAAGATAGAAGCTTGATACTTTGTTTGAGCTTTATTTTTTATAAATTGGTTATATTATAATATTCTCATAAGGATCGGACAACTATATCCGATGTTTGCGATATATATCCGGTTTTAACTGCAAGGGTATATACACTTCGGCTCCGCCCGAAGTTAGCTTTCCTTTCTGGTTTTTTTTTTAATTAGTTTATGGTTAATTATTTATTCACCTTATCTATTTTTTTTTTTGTAAGGCTGTCTTTCGTGTTCTTCCGGGTGTTCCCATCCCTGCAGATAAGATTCAGGGATAAATGAATGTTTTTTTTTTATAGAATTAAATAAAAGTACATCGGGCGAAAAACCCGGCAAGAACAGAATGTGTTTGGACTCACGGAAGCTAAATGCATTGACGGTGAAGGATGCCTACCCGTTGCAGAATATAGATTCCATTCTCAGCCGGGTCGATGACACTATTTTCATCAGCAGCATCGACCTGAAATATGCGTTTTGGCAAGTAGAGCTGGATGAAAAGAGTCGTCCGTATACGGCTTTCACTATACCTGGTAGGCCGCTATATCAGTTCCGGGGGATGCCTTTTGGGTTATTCAATGCGGCGCAAAAACGATGCAGGTTGATGGATAGAGTCATCCCACAGAGACTCAGAGACCGAGTGTTCGTATACCTGGATGACCTGTTAATGATCTCGAAAGCCTTTGAGGAGCATTGTGAGTTGCTAGCAGAAGTGGGAAGATGCTTACGGAGGGCGAATTTGGCCATCGGGTTGCAGAAGTCAAAGTTCTGCTTTAAATACTTGCGGTATTTAGGGTATGTTCTAGGAGATGGCGCTCTGAAAACAGATCTACGGAAAATCGCAGCCATTAAAGAAATTGAAGCCCCAAAAAACGTCCGACAGTTGCGCAGTTTCCTTGGCACCGCGAATTGGTACAGAAGGTTCATATAAAATTTTTCCGAGATAAGCGCTCCTTTAACCGATTGCCTGATAAGAGGAAAAGGGCTACAGTGGACATCCGAAGCGCAGGTAGCGTTCTAGAGGCTGAAGCAAGCACTGAGCTGTGCGCCGGTTTTAACCCACCCGGACTTCCGGAAACACTTCTGGATTCAGTGTGATGCCAGTCATGTAGGAATCGGCATGGTCTTGTTCCAGAAGGACGACAAGAAAGCGGAACGGCCGATCGCTTTCTTTTCGGCAAAGCTGAGGGGCGCACAGCTGAATTACAGTGTAACCGAGAAGGAGTGTCTGGCTGCAGTCAAAGCTGTTGAAAAGTTCCGTCCATACATAGAGATGATGCCGTTCACCATCTTGACGGCTCACGCGAGCCTTAAGTGGCTGATGTCTTTTAAAAATCTGGAAGGGAGACTGGCCAGATGGTTTCAAGCGCTACAGCCTTACCAATTTAACATTGAGCATCGAAAAGGAAAGGACAATGTGGTGGCTGATACTCTCTTACGCCCCAACGATAAAGAAGAGCTGAGCCTGTTAAACATGGAGACGACGGCATTCGCAAGTGAGTACCTGGAAAGAATGAAACTAGTTAAAGAGCAAGGAGATCGATTCCCAGACTTACGGGTGGAAGAAGGCTTACTCTTTAAGAAGACTCGTTTTTGCCGGGAGGACAGCGAGGATTTCGACTGGATATTGTGGATCCCCGAAGAACTAACAAATACAATAGTGCAGCAAGCCCATGAAGGGGAGATGGCACTTCATGGAGGAATCCGGTACACATTAGCGAGGCTACAGCGAATGTACTATTGGCCGAACATGGTGGTACAGGTGAAAGAATGGGTTACTTCCTGCATCAGCTGTAAAGAAAATCAGCACACAAGGCACACTACGAGACCTCCGATGGGAAAAGAAGTTTTCAGACAGACAGACCGTTGCAGAAGTTGTAATTCGATTTCCTCGGAAAATACCCCCGATCCAGGCGCGGCAACACCATGCTGTTAAAGCTATGTCCAAAGCAACGTCGGTGGCGGTGGCCGGATTCCGAAGAGAACATATTTTCACGCCATTTGGAGTGCCGCAAATTATACATATAGACAATATAGGGAATTTGTCTCTATGAAGAGGCAGCGCGGAGGTACAACTTAAAATCCAGGGAAGTGAAGTTGTTACCGCCGTCATAGAATTAAGTTTATATTTGAAAAATGAAATCGTTAATATTAGTGTTGAATAATGTTTAGATTAAGTTCTGAAAAACGCTAGACGTAAGCTTATCGATATACAGAAAAATGGCGGAAGGACGAGGCGTTTGCGATCGCTAGGTGAAGCTAACGAGACGAGGGAAAACGACGAAGTTTTTTAGCTCGCGCGCCCAGCATTTGATTTGATTTAAATAAAGGAAAGAACAACCAAATCGATGTTTGCTTAAAGAATCGTGCACCAACCTCGCCCCGACCTCAACATTTCTAAAAAACTTCCTCCAAAACTTCGTTACCTGCGGATTAAGGCAGAAAAAACAGCGTCGCGTCGCTAGCAGACAACAGCTAGACCGACAGGAGGCGACAAATTTTGGAAGGAACGAAAGGGAAGGCGTCGCGTCCCTAGCAGCCAAGGCTAGGTCGAGTTGAGCACGCCATTCTTGGGGAAAACCAGAACTCTTGCGGATAAAGGCAGAGGTAAGGCGTCGCGTCCCTAGCAGCCACAGGCTAGGTCGAGTAAGCACGCAACCAAGAGGAAGAAAAGCAGACGCCATATTGCAAGCACGCCGGACGACGCGAAGCATGAACGTTGAAGTGTGCAGAATTTGCGAGAACAAAAACGAAACAGCGTCAGAAAATTTGGTACAGTGCGACGTTTGCGGAAGGTGGTACCATTTCGAGTGTGCCGGCGTAGAGGACGACATTGAGAGCAAGGATTGGAGTTGCGATTACTGTCTTGCGGGTTGCAGCCACATAGCACCGTTCAGCGGTATGCAAAGATCACCAGTACAGTCTCAAACACGTGAAGACGCAATGGATACCCCAGAACCGCACAGCAAAGCGCTAGCCGTCGATAC